GGGGAGATAAAGCAGAAAAAAAAAAAAAAGACGATTGGCAACAGTTGTTAGCTCAGGTGCCAATCTTTAAAAAAAAGAAAAAAAGACTCTCATGGATAATTGAAAACCTATAAATTTAACATTGCATTTTCTTTTTAAAATTATTCCCTTCATGATTTAAATCAAGCTCGTTTAAAAGGACAACACAATTTTAATTTTCTCATCAATTTTTGGTGCCCAACTTTGACTGGAGATGTCAGTAAACTACCAAACGTCTAAAAGTTAGACAGCAAAAAAGTGAAAGAAATAAAGAGATTCAGTAATCTACAAACAAAGCATTGAGCCTCTGATTAATAAAAATCAGCTCTACAAGAGAAATTAACCTAATTTTAAGTAGCTTGGAAGTTAGGTTTTTTATGCCTGGCATGCCATATTGTTTAGAGCTGTGTTCTGGGCTTCTGTAGGCAGATTTCACATATATCAGTAAATGCTTGCTTTGGTTAAAATGAACTGGAAAATGAATTGCTTATTAATAGGAAAAGCTTAAACAGGGAAAATGAAAGTTGAAAACACTTTCTTTGGTGTATGCAGCCCTATACTGACCCAAAATGCACTGTTGAAATTGTTTTATTTAGATTCTACCTACTGAAGAATAGGAGAGCTGTAAATTTTTTGTCTCTTATTAGTGGCGTCCCAACCCAGAACTTTCCTCCCATTCAGCTCCATCAAACCAAATCCTAAAAGACTGAACCCACTTCTACCTTTAAGGCATTTTTCTGATTAATTCTTATCTGACATGACCCCAAAATTAGTAAAGCCCATGTTGTTATGGATTTTATCACTCTCTCAATATAGATAACCCTTCATTCCTGATTGATGGTCATTATGCTTGAGGCTTCCCAATGATTGAGGCCTTTTGACTTTACAAAGTAGTCTCTATCATTTTGGAACACTTGAATGTTAAGCTGAAACTTGTTTCCCTGTCAGTTCTCTTTTTTTGGCCTTGGTTTTGGCTTTTGGAAAAGCACACAAATCACATCTATCTTTGCCCCAATAGTCTTTTAAGTATTTGAAGATAGTTATATTTTCTCCAGGTCTTTCCCTGTTTAAACTAAGCATGCTCAGCTTTTGGACCCTTGCCTCATATCATATATTTTTTACATGCCTTGTCATTCCTGGTTTCTCTTCTCCAGATTGAACCATTTGTGAATGCTTCTTTTAAAATAAGGAACAATCAACTGAACAGAGCAGATATGGTCAGATCAGGGTAGAGGATAGTGGCACTCTTAATTTTCTTGCTTTAGTGGCTAACTTTTTTGTAATGTAGTTAAGTTTCAAAGATCTTGCTTAACAGCTATGGTATGCCAGCTCATACTCAATTTACAAAATTTTTAAGTAAAATTTTCCCATGTTAGGTATTTATTGCCCATCTTGTACTTGTGCAAGTGATTTTTGTAAACCTAAAATTAAGACTTACTGTTTAGCCTTGTCAAACTTGATCCTGTTGCATTTGCATGTTGAGTCTTTTGAGATCTTTGAAATCTTGGTTAAATTTTTGCTTTAATTATTCCTCCCAGATTGTTTTCACCTAAAAATTCAATAAACATGGCTTTAATTCATATATTGTGAACAGGACAGGTACAGATACCTAAGACATTGTACTAGAAACATATCTGATTTCTGAATATCTATTACTCTAGCCTACACCATGCAATCTATGCTTTCCTACATCCATTGATTCAACAAAGGCTCATTGAGTGCTTACTGCATGCCAGGTACAGTTCTAGGTACTGAAGTATATAACAGTAAATAAGAGAGAGGAAATTCCTACTTCACTGGGGAAAAGCAAAATAAACAAGTAAGCAAATTATGTGATTTCCCATAATGATGTGAGAAAAATAAAGCACAGAAAGAAGGTAGAGGAGATCGAAAGTGATTGGGGATAATGTTTTAAATAGATTGGCCCATGAAGACACATCTGAGGAAGTAAATTTTAGCAGACAACCTGAGTGAAGAAGTATGCCCGGTGACTATCTGGGGGAGGAGTTTTCCAAGAAAGCACAGCAAATGCAATATCTCTGAAGAGGGGACAGGTTTTCCAGAAAAAAGAGAGAGAGCAAAAAAAGCCAGTGTAGTATATTGAACCAGGGCAGAAACAAGTGGTGGGAAATAACTGTAACAAAGATTTGAAACTTTATTGTTAACGTAATGGGAAGCATTTGGAAGGCTTTAAGCTGGTGAGTGATATGATCTGATTCAACTTTATAAAGAATATTTTGACTGCTATTAAGAGAAAGTATTAAAGAGGACAGTAGTAGACAATAGGAAACCGTATAAGATGCTTTTGCAGTGGTTCAAGCTAGAAGTGATAGTGACTGCAACTGATATAGTAATGATGGAGAAAGTAAGGAATGCTCAGATTTGTGACATATTTTGAAAGTATAGCCTACAGGACTTACTGATGGCTTATATATGAAGTGTGAGGAGAAAAGAAGAATTAGCAACTGGATACATTTAATTACCTCTTTTTGTACTGTTGTTTCTTACATGTCTTCTCTTGTCACTTGGACTATAAATTCTTCAAGGGTAGGGACATTGCCCTTCTTTTTCTCTCAGATCACCTTGGTTCAAGATATACAGTAGGTAATGAATGTGTTAATCCATCATAGGTAGGTCATCTCTGAATCCTCCACTTTAATCCTATCATTCCTTCTTTGAAATGTCTCAACTTCAATCATTTCTCTTCATTCCTGCTCTTAACATCCTGATCTAGACCCAAGTCATGCAGAAGCTGGATCACCACTACAACTGTCTGATCTCTCTCACTCCAGCCTGTCTCCAATCTGATTCAAACTGCAAATTGATGACTGACTAATCACTTGAAAAATTTGCTTTCAGTTATTCATTTAACAAGTACTTACTGATTTATCTACTTTGTGTCCAGGACTCTTCTAGATGCCAGGATATAATACTAAACAAAACAAGCAAAAAAGACTGACTTCCTGGAGTTTATATCTGCAATAACTAAAAATATAGAGTATGTTAAATGGTAATAAGTGCTATGACAAAATATAAAACAGGATGAATGGATAAAGACTATATGATATATATACACAATGGAATATTATTCAGCCATAAAAAAGACAAAATTGAGCCATTTGAGACAATGTAGATGGACCTTGAAGGTATCATGCTAAGTGAGATAAGCCAGATGGAGAAAGACAAATGCCACATGATTTCACTCATATGTGGAAGATTAAAAACAACAATAACAACAATAAACAAACACATAGATACAAAGAACAGATTGGTGGTTACCAGAGGGAAAGGGGGGTGAGGAGAGGGTGAAAGGGGTAGAGGGGGACATTTGTATGGTGACGGATGGCAACTAGACTTTAGGTGGTGAACAAAACATAACTCTATACAGAAGCTGAAATATAATGATGTACACCTGAAATCAATGTTACTTCAATAAAAAAAAGAAAAAGAAAACAGGGAGGGGTGCATAGGGAGGTACAGAGAGTGTTAAGAAGATCACAATTTTAAATAGGGTTACAGTGTAATCTCTAAATCTTGAAAGAGGTTACCTATAAAGAAGTTATAATCTCTTTAAAAAGCAACAATTTTAAAAAGGTTACGTTTGAGCAGAGATTTGAATCAAACGAGGGAATGTCATACAAAGATCAGAGGGAACAACAGTGCAAGGGCTCTGACGTGGTCATGAGCTTAATTTATTTGAGAAATAGAGAGAAGGCCGGTGTAATTGGAAAATGAGTTAGTGGCAGAGTGGCAAGAGGTGAGGCCAGAAAGATGGCGAAGGCCAGATCATTTAGGATCTTCAGGCTATGGTAAGAAATTTGCAATTTATAGTATATGTGAATGGAAGCCATTGGACAATCTGGAGCCGGGCATGATCTCACTTTTGTTTTTAAAAAAATCACTCAAGCTGCTCTGTATGTAGATCATTGACTGTAGAGGGTTGAGGTACCCTGTCCTAGGGCTTTTGGTGGCTTTTAATAAAATCAAGGTTCTCTGTCTACTTTCAAATGTTTTTATTATCAGCCTATCCTCTCACTAGTCCTTAACACATGCCCTCTATTTGTCAGGCTGATTTCATCATGGACCTCCTCACATCATATATACTGTACTTTCCCACTTTTGTCTATTCCTTCCCCTTTAAAACAGTGCTTTCTATTCTCTCTTATCCACCCTTCAAGAACCATATCAAGTTTCAATTACAACAGAGAATGCTTCCTTGACTATCACCTCACTGATGTCTCTATTAAACGATGAAGCTCTTGTCTGTAATTCATGACTGAGCAAATGATCATGTACTTTATTTTACTGTTGTGAATTTTTAATGTGTGTTAATCTTGTATTCCTAATAATGATGTAAGTTCCATAACAGCAGAGGATCTCTCATGGCATCCAGAAAACTGGAGGAACATATCAAGTGTTAACTGATGTAACATATGGCTTGAAGTTTTTTTCTGTTATAGTGTAATGGTGATCAGTTAAGTAACTTCTGGCGAAGAGGGATTGAGGGTGGGTGAACAGAACCCATAATTTTAATTTCTTACATTAGCCAGAGTCAACTGGTCACATAAAATAGTACACTCACTCTTACTGACAAATTCCAAAGGCTCAATGGACACCTTCTTGACGTTAGTAACACTGAGCACATACCTGATAATTGAAAACTTACCCCAAAGACTGTATTTCTGTATGTGATCATTTGATTTTGGCAGTGTGCAACAATTCTGCTGAAAGCGAATCTCAAGTTGGAAGACCAGGCAACACCTGCTCAAATGGTTGGCATATAACTACTATAATCACAGGGATGCTGAACGTTCACAGCTATTCAGGAAGAGAGAGGTACAGAGAGGCCTGGCCTTGGACGCAGCTGATATGTGCGAGGAAGAGACAGCCCCACTGCAGGCAGCTATCTTATCTCTCTTCTCCCCTCCCTACTCTTGGGTTTTTGGGCTGAGGCCAGGGACTGTCCGGAGCTGATCTCGGGCTCCCATTGGCCGCTGTCTTTTGTGACGTCACGATCATGATGAGAATTGATGATCGGACACGTTGATTTCATTGTCTGAGAAGGCAGTGGAGACCCAGGAAAAATCTCGCTGAATCTGCCTGCCCCAGCACTGATCTGATCTGGGATCCTCTGATCCCTCCCGTGACCGCACCACGCCCGAGGTAAGCACCCAGCCTGGGTGGATGTGAAGGGCGAAGGAGGGCGAGCAAGGCACCTAGCTAATGCTCTGCCCAGTGGTGGTGGGGAGGTGGGGGGGGGGGGGTGCGTAGGTTCAGAGGCCTAAAGAGGCTGCCAACAAACTGGTGCGGCTTTTGGGGAGCCAACTGCCTCTACCCTCCGAGCGAAGGCTGGCGGCAGCGTGAGGTTAGAAACAAGCTGAGTGTAGGGATACAGTGTGCATTGCCAGAGAGCGAAGGACCTTGCTGAGAAAGGGCAACCTTTGAGACCCGCTTCTGGCCCCGGAGCAGGAAGAAGTGGCGCCTCTGCCACCGAAGAAAGGAGGGGGGCGGTGAATTCTACCACTTCTAGCTTTCACTGGACAGTAGATTTCTCACAGCCTTACTCAAAAAGCACTGAGGTTGCTGCGCCTGCGCATTAACAACTTGTGGGGCGGTGGGGCGGGGGGACGGTTCAGGGCGAGGAGAATAGGCGTGGAGTTTGCGCAGGCGCTTTTTCCGTTTCGCTTGAGGAGGTGGGGCTGAGCTCTATCTGGACAGAATATGGGAAGGGTTGGGGAGTTGACAGTGTGATGTTTCAAGCTCCAGTTGATAGAGAGGGATCTGCCAGTTACTTTGAATCTGGCCTGAGGAATTTAAGAAGGCAAATTCTTAACCTGCAGGTATCAGGTTTGGAATAATAGAACTCGGAGAGGTATTTGTAGAATAGAAATCGCTGAGGTGAGAAACCACTTGAAGAAAAAAAAAACACTAATTATTCAAGTGAAACCAACTTTTCATCTTCAAAGAACTCTGATTTGGGGTGCCACTCAGTGATTTGGAAACTTAAAACTGGCCGGAGAGATTCAGAGTGAGGTCCATTGTGGAGAGTCAGAATAAGAACTTTTCCTTTCTTGTCTTTTTTCTGTCTTGGAATGGTCTCATAAAGCCTTGGTCTCTGTTTCAGGTTTAGTGCTAAGTCCTTCTTCCTTCTTCCTGTGTGTTTCTGTTAGAACCACCAAAGTCAAATCCTACTTTGAGAGACCCTGTCCAACTCTCCTTCTTTTAGGGGGGCTATATTACTCAGCAACTGTGAGGAACAACCTGCCTGTCTGTCCTTGGTGGAGAAATCGTTCAGTAGTGTTACTAATTCTCCTCCACTGTCTGATCATGAACTCTATTTCACAGAGGAATCTGGATTTTTCTCCATTTTTTATAGTTAAGGGGTTATCAAGTCCTGGTGAATCTTCCTTTGAAAACTCTCTCCTACCATTCTTCCCTTATTCTACAATCTAAACTCTCATCACCAGCCATCTAGTCACTCCAGTAGCCTCCTAGCCAGCCCTTACCTGTGTGCCAAATCCCTAATTCATCCCTTCAGACTAATGATCCATGAACACTTCTTTCACCCAGCCATTTTTCTTCACCAAAATATTCTTGGCTCCCTATTTTCTTTTGTTCTAATCCCAGTTCCACTTGGATTGCAAAGAGCCTCATAATCTGGCTTCATTGTACCACAGGAACCTAATTTTACTTTATTCTTCAGTGCACAACTCTCCTTAATGTCCCCAATCTACCTCCGGAATTTTGCTCCTTGCACTGTTACCGTTTCTTTCACCTGGGATACCTTCTTTTCTGCCTATTCATATCTTACCCACTTTGGAAGCTCAACTTAAGTTACACCGCTCCATAAGTGCTTTCCAAGTCTAAGCCAACCCATATTAAGCTCACCTTTTCTGGAACTCTTACATCAGTTTTTGTATTTGTCACTTTCTTATAGCATGCTTTATATTGTCTTATTATATGTTTTTTTTGTGTGTGTAAGTGTTAGACTAGACTCTTCAGCTTGATTTTAAACCCCTTCTTAAGGGTTGGGACCATGCTATGTACTTCTTTATCCTCTGCCCACAGCACCTGGATGACTATTTGAAATATCTATAGCCATATATGGTCTTTGTTTCCCGATTTCTTGGGAAATGAAGTAATACTGTTATAGAGAGAACTGTATATATGTGAAAACATTAATCGTTGGTCGGGCAAGGGACCCTCTTGTGACTGAAGAAACCTGAATCTGAGTTAGAGAAAAGACTATATGGACATTTCTATATAATGGATGGCCTCCAAATATATTCTGTCCTCATAAACAAGACCAAGGAAACGTTATTCCGGAAGTGGTTCTGTCTGTAATTTTCTTAGTTTGAGAAATACTAAATAATTTCTATTTTTCTGTATATCTCTTTGATTACATTGCATTATGTATCTTCTCTTAAAATCTATAAATTATTCACTTTTTATTGTAATATATCTTGCAATTTCTGCTTTAATTAGTCACTTTTTATTGCAATATATCTTGCAATTGCTGCTTTACATTAACCATCACTTACAGTTTTTATTTGTGCCTCTCTTGAATCAGAGCTAATCATTGTGATGGTTGCCATAATTGCTATTATGTAGCATATGAGTTGTCACTTTTCTTCCCCTTGGGCTTCAAACTACATTGTTCCATGGATCTCAGTTTTATTTGAAAGAAAGTGTGATCGTGGTTTAATATAGACCCTTTTTAAAGGTTTCATTTTCACTGCTGCTTTACTTTGAGGCATCATCGCAATATCACATCAAGGTTTGTGGTTTAGGAACATGGATGAAAAGCAGTTCAGAAGGATATTATAATCTGTAAATTTGAAAATTGTTGTCACAGATTATTGTCAGTGAACTGTGAATGTTATTTACTATATGGGAAAGATCCTTTCTTCTTGACTTTTTCTCTTATTACCTACATTATGTGAATCCCCTCAAAGTGTTTTACCTTGTTCCATGCTTGCATAGTAATTAATAAGATTTACTTGGATGTTTACATGTAGACCAATAGACAGAACTGTTCAAAGGTAAAGCACCCTCTACATAGAATGTAATGCTTAGGAATATGGTGCTCATTTTAGAGAGCTTAAAATAAAATATGAAAAAAAAATAAGAGTCTGAAGTTTGTGTTTTAAGATTTATTTTAGAATTCTTGTCTGAATGAGAGGATAGCATTGGACTTTCTCATTTAAGTTGTAAGTTTGAGCTGGAAGGGATTTTCTAATGACAAGCCAATCCCCCTATTTTACATATGAGGAAGCTGAAGCCCAGAGACATGAAGTACCTTACCACCATTTATAAATGCTAATATTTATTAAGCACTTAGTGCCAGGCATTGTGCTAACAACTTCATGTATGTTATCACATTTAAACCTCACAGCATCCTTCTGAGATAGTTTCTAGTATTATTTCCCATTTTACAAATGAGAAAACAGAGGCTCAAAGTAGTTGACTTTCCCAGGGACACACGGCTACAAAATGTCACAGTCAGGATGCAAACATAGGTCTTTTTGACTCTTAATCACCAAGCTGTACTTGACCAAGTTATTATGCAGTGAATTTTTGGCAGAGCTTTAGCGAGGATCTAAATCTCTAGAGTCTCAGCCCAATATGTGTGTGTGTGTGTGAGTATAGGTATGTGTGTGTGTGCACATGCACGTGTGTGTTTTATACCATAATGTTTTCCATGAACACCATACTACTTCTACAAAATCAGTGATTTCTAAGCTTGCCCAAAGGGTGTATACTTACATTTCTTTTTAGGTATTTTATTAAAATACACTCTCTCAGTCTTAGTTGAAAAAGATGGCATGAAATTTTGTATAAAATATATTTTTAAAAAATATAATTAATTTCGCTTTGAAAACTGCATTGTACTTCCAGAGGAAATTATAGTTTTGTGTAGTATAATCTCCAACTAGATAAAAATACTTGAATTGTTGCTTTTAACTTTACAGTGGAGTCAGTTAGCTAAACATGAAATTGGTGGTGTCTTAATATACTTGCATCGAGTACACTATGTCTAGGCATACTGGTTTGGAAGTAAACAGTGAAAGTTCTAGGGAGATATATTCTGCATAAGAAGGCAACTGGAGAGGTTAGTATATTCAGAAGCTGTCACTAGCATCCTGAGATCTTTCCACTCTGCATAAAAGTTCAAGACAATAAATTGAAACCTGTCTGTGCAAATGGAGTCATGCTTGTGCCAACTAGTAGCAAAGTTGTCTGGATTAACCAGAGATCTAAGTGGATGGCAACTGAATAAATAAGATTGTATTGTGTCAATTAAATGCTATACTTTACATCTGTCATCTGTAATTAAATCTACAACAGCAGCTGCCCTACCTTCTTGGTCTCTTATTGTTTTATAACTAGACTTATGTCCAATAGGTTGATCCTTACACTCTTTAAACGTGTTGTTTGTCAGAGTGGCAAAAATTCAGAAAAACGTTTTCTTAACCTCTGTTCCCTTGCAGTTGGGGACAATTTATTTAAGGTTCTTAAAACAGCCATGCAAACATGTGACTTACATGCCCTGGGTAGATACTTTTCTCATGTAGACAAGCATTTGTCTTACCCAAGGTCATACAAATAGTAAGTAGCAGAGCTAGCACTTTAAAGCAGGTGCCATTCTAGAGGCTGCACTCTTAACTCCTAAGTTATAGATTGGAGAACTAGAGTGAGGCCTGTCTTTATTTATTGTTTTTAAAAATTTTGTGTGTGTGAGTGTGTATAATTTCCCCCTAACATTTTTCTCTTTCTGAGTGTCTAATGCCTATGACATTTTCCTTTTCTCTTAGTGGAAATGAAAATCTTTAATAGCAAGGCTGAGGTTTAGGAGAAAAGGATCATTGTACTGACCACCAATGGCTTCTGTGGCAGAAGGCATGTAGACCCAATCCTGTATTCTTTACTACTGTCAAGTACCAAGCAATGGTGAAAGTGTTTCTTCATTGGGTTTAATGAAAAGATAATTATGAGATGTTTTCTACCACACTAATATGTTGCTTTAATGTACTTTTTTATATATTATACTTTCTTACTTGGTTAGCTTGGTCTGTCTAGCGTGTATTTTATGGATGAAATAGCTATGCCATTTAGGAAAGTAATTATCTGAGACCCATTCTCCAAATATCTTTGCCTTTTCG